TAAATGTATGAGAAACTGTAAAAAGGAAAGCCTTTGACTGTGGCAACTATAAGAGACTCTTTCTTTTCTTTTCTTTTCTTTTGCTAACGATGCAATAAGAGCTTGACTTGTACTTTAGTTGAATACTGCTTTGGGGAGTGATATAACTCTCCCCAAATTAATACCATGTTTGTAGCGAAAACAAATCAACCAAATTTACTTACTTTTTTCATCAGATTTATTTACTTTGATTGCCTTCGATATGTAGTGCTTAGGTCCGATGATTCGACGCTCGGGTTTAGAATTCAGGATTCAAGTTCTTAGATAATATTTAATTATGAACTGATTTTATTTGAGAATATGATATAAAATCGAAACTTATTGTTAATCAATTTCAATGGGAATCGATGGGAATCTCTAATTCAAACTTAGATCTCTAGGTAAATATTGGAACAGATTGAATATGTGCGCACAAGAGGAACATGCACTGTACAGCAAAGTTTACCTTTTTTTGGGGTCAAATTGCTAGCTCTCTCTCTCTCTCTCTCTCTCTCTCACTCTGGGAGTTGGTAGCCCGTCACACGTCCATTCTTTGACCTATTTGCTTAAGACGGGCTCATCTTCATTGACTTCATGCACTCACCAACTTTGAATTGAACAATAATTTAATTCACATCACTTTCATTTTATATGTATATGAGACAAATAATAATTTTTTTTTCTTATGGCTGGCCATCTTAGTTTTCCTTGAAACTGTCAATGCCACAACTGTTTTTCATTTCCTGGGTTACACACAAAATCTATCGTTGAACTTAGACTGACATAATCTAATTGCGTTGAATAAGTCAAGCCCGCCATTTTGTATTTTTAATAACCAATTACCAAATGCTGTTTCTTCTGATTGCAAGATTAACAATGCTTCAACAAATATATATTTATCTTACCAAAAAAATAAAAGTATATAGTGGTCACTATAAGTAGTCAAACTTGTAGTACTGCATTATAAAAATAAGTTTATGATATATCATGTTGTTGCGGACACCATCAGCACGTACGACAAAGGGAGCATGAAGTTCCAAATCATGAATGGCCATCCAGCAAAAAGGTACTTTCATTTTAACATGTCGTTCCAAAAGTAAAGAATATCTTCTTCTTGATGATAATGCATATGCATAAATGAACAAAGAACGGAAAAAAACAAAACAAAGCACAAAATACAAGGAGGGTTTAAGTAAGACTAATCTCCACCATTTAAATTCATGTGATTTTAAAGTTGATATATATACGAACGGACATCATCTTATATATATACAGTTATTCTCTTATCCAAATGTTCGTATGTTATTATAGTGCAGATGCCACTGTAAACAAATGGGAAAGCAATGAGAGATAGTAAAAATACATGACGTGTAGATGATAATAATGTCCGGACATCTGCATAGGAGAATTTATATTTATAAATAGCGGTATGATACAAACAATTAGTCATCATGAACGTACAATTTCAGGTTGTTGAAAATAAGTATGTTTGTTGCTTCAAGATTATCAATGATAACTCAGTTGGTCTGCTTAGGTCTCTATCAATTTTTTCTTTGCAGCACATTGTGAAGTGTCACTTTTAAAACTACACTCTTTTCTATAGGATCTTAAAATTTTTGTGAGGGTTTATAATTTTAGTGGTAAAATATTTATTTTAAAATTATAACATGAGTTTGATTCTTATTTTCTTAATTATATTGTCCGAATACAAAAAAACATAATATTTGAATCGAAAAACACATTTCCAAATTAAGAGGGAAAACACATTTTCAAAATCAAGAAAAATGGTTTTTTTTTGTTTGGTTTCTCTCAGTGGTGGATCCAGGATTCAAAAGTCAAGTAGGCGAAACTTACTTTAAAAATTCGACGGTACAAGTAAATTTTATTCATAAAAATAAAAAGATACACCTAGTCAAGGAGGACGTAATGAGCCTTACTCTCAAATATGTATATATGTACATAAATAAAAGCTTAACACAAAAAGAAAAGAAAAGAAAAAGTAAATGCAATGCAACACAAAACTAAATTATTTAAATCTAAAACTTTACCCTACAATGTTTAGAAATCTTAAATTCCTCAATTATATCTTCATTATCGATATTATTCGCAAACTCTCTTTCAATGTGGAGAATCATGCAATCAATAAGGAATTCATCAGCTATGGTGCTCTGAAGTCTATTCTTAATAATTCTCATACATGAAAAAGCTTGTTCCGTTGTTGCTATAGAAACAGGAAGAGTAAATATCAGCTAAATGAACATGTAAAACAAATGGTAGTTTTCTGCCAAAGTTGTTTCTGCCAATTGTTGACATAATTGAGGAAGAGTGGTGAGGTCCTTAAAGCAGGGAAGGCGATGCATATTATTTTGAAAATACCTCAACTCAATTTTTAAAGCTTTCAAGTCACTTGGACTGAAATCAGCAGGATAGAATTTCTCAGCAAGTTTACATAGATGCCTAATATTGAATGATTTGAAGGATTACGAGGATCCAATGCTGAGCTAATAATAAGAAGTTCAATTGTTTGCTTTGGAAATCTATCATTTAACTCCCTCAATATGCAATCACATCATTAAATATATCAACGTGATAGTAATGTTCAACTGTAATAAAATCTTTTGTTGACAAGAACGACGTATGCCCATCATATAACGAAAATTCATATCAGGAACATCAATACCATGTTGTTCACAAAATGATACCACACTCATGAATAAATCATCCCAGCCATGTGCCCTCATATCTTAGAAATGTGATTTTGTGTTTTCAACAAAGTTTAAAGCACTTACAATATCTTGAGTTTTTGTCTGAAATACTTGACAAAGAAAATTGGCCAATCCCATAATTTTATCCATCAAAAGAAATGAAAACACAAACTCAAAAGACATTATAGCAATATGGTTATTCTTTGCATCGTCACGAAATTGTTGGTTAGGTCCATAATCACTGATTTCCTGGAGAAATATTTTAGTCTCTTTAAATAAACTCATCAAACTTGTAATAGAGGCAAATTTGATTGTATTGGGTAATTTTTGGTTTGGCAAAAAATGGAGTAGGAGGCTGCCTTCCCTACCCTTAGTGTAGGATCTCCCTTGGTGGGTTGGGTTGGGTTTGAGTAGGTAGAAGAATTTTGATTGTATTGAATATTGGGTAACTTTTGGTTTGCAAAAAATGAAGTAGGCAGCTGCTTACCCTGTCCTTAAGGTAGAACCGCCCTTGATGCGTTGGGTTTGAGTAGGCAGAAAAAATTTAATTGTATTAGGTACTGAGTAATTTTTTATTTAGCAAAAAATAGAGTAGACTGCTGCAAACCCTGATCTTAGGGTAGGACTGCCCCTGGTTTCTCCTATAGTAGTAGTAAGCTCAAGCAAATTGTGCAAAGACTGACTTCCCTGTCAAGGACGGCGTGTGCTACCAAAATGAAATAGGTAGCTTTTACTCAGCGCATTGTGCGAAGACTGACTTCCATGTTGAGCATGGCATGTCCTACCAAAGAGAAATAGGTACCTTTGCTCTGAGAGAGAGAGAGAGAGAGAGAGAGAGAGAGAGAGAGAGAGAGAGATCTTTTCTATGTTCCTTATCAAAATGTAATACAGCCAAAAATTAGCATCATGAACCTTTGATCATTTCAGCAATTTTTTTATTTCCTACACAAATCTACACAAATTTTTTATTTTCCATCCGGGCCTATCTATCCAACAAAACTATTTCACCAAAAAAGGACTATATTTATTAGTATAATTTCACATATGGGACCATTTAGCATCAATTTGTACCAAAATAATACGGCCAATATAGCATCATTTAGTAAGGGATCCACTAGTATAGTGGTTTGGAGTAATTGCTTCTCCAGACAAGATCTTGAATTCGAATCCTAACATCTGTATTATGTGTGTGAATTTATAGTGCATTATCATCCCTCTCAATACAATCCCTTTTACCACCACATACCTATAATTTTTATTTCCAACTATAAGGTAAGCATATTAATTTGTGACCAACTTTGATTGCTTCTGGTGGAAGGCCCTGTGTGGTTGGGCTGGAAGAAATTTTACGAAATGATGTTTCTTGTGACCAACTTTTTAGCTCTCATTAATTATCAAGCCCTTTCCTAACCCCAAAAAGAAAAAGAAAGATGGAGGATGCATGCGATAATATTGATGGGACAATTTGTTCTGGCAATGAACATAAAAAATAAAAAAAAATATGAAAAGGTAAAAACTTGTACATGTTGTAAAAATATTGATTAGTTGAATCGTATACTAGAAACCAAAATACAATTATTATGAGAAAATATCATTTATTATAAACACCAAAGTTGACTTGGAATTATTTGATTTTACCTCTAATTTCTCTCTCTCTCTCTCTCTCTCTCTCACAGTCACACAAACAGTTGAGGATGGATAAAATATTCGAAAAAATGGGGCTTGGTGGATTTTTATTTTATTGTCGGCGTCTGTAGGCAAAACCTTTGTATCTATATAAAGTGGGGTTCCCATGCATCTACCATCAGAGCCTCATTCAGTATTATTTGTGCTAAGCAACTAACTCAAGCAACCCGTCCTTGTTCCTTCCCTCATCATCACCAGCCAGTTTTTGCAGATCGGTGAGTTCTCAACAGCCAGTTCCTTCACATATGTACTCATATTTATATATCCAAGAGTTCAAATGGATGAACATCAGGCCAGCTTTTAGAATCTCTCATTTGCCGTAGTATTTTTTTTTCTTTCTTTCTTTCTTTCTTTCTACCAAAGAGGTAGATCATAAAGGAGCGGAAAGTCGAACTCTGAACTTACCTCTTGGTTAAATACTCTCAATCAATGAAGCTACAAGTCTCGACGAGAGCTTCGTCGTAGATAGATTAATATTTTCTAATCATATTATTAGTACTCAAGAATCATACTAATTTTATGTGTGCTCCATTCATGCAGTTAATACAAGAAGAAACTTTTTGTACTAATTAGTTAAGTGATCAAGAGAAGATGTGGAGGATTAAGTATGGAGAGGGGGCAAATGACCCCTTGTTGTTCAGCACAAACAACTTCCATGGAAGGCAGACATGGGAGTTTGACCCAGATGCAGGTACCCCTGAAGAGAGAGCAGAGGTTGAAGAAGCTCGTGAAAATTTCTACAGAAACCGCTTCAAGGTTCAGCCCAGCAGTGATCTCCTCTGGCGTTTTCAGGTAATTATTATAAATTTTGGGCGGCCTGCTTTAATTGTTTACTAATATTTTTTTTTTAAGGTATAGTTTATTTGCACCACATTAGTGGAGACATACACACATGTTGAAGATTTGGATGAATCTCAAGAAGATTATGCCTTCCTCTGATAACAACAAGAAAACATTTAATATTTTAAATTCCAACCCCAATCCTTTCTTTCTGTCGTATATGATTTCATGTTAATAGTTCAACAACGTGATATAAATATATAATTTTTTTCTTTTTTACAAATTACTCCACCAATTGCAAAAGTTTCTAAAAAGTCCACTGGTAAACCTGCGTGAACTTAGGAAAGTCATGTGATGTTTTTTTTGGGGTAAAAGTCCACTGGCCAACTTTGTTTGACCACTGGTTGGACCATTTCTTTAAATGGTGGATGTAGATACTGATTGGACTTAATCTGGGATGATATGTATACAAATACTGAATAGTGTATTTCTTTGTATACAAATGATTGTCCTTTGATTAAAATTTAATTAGTCCAAACAAATTATAATTATCAGTATGACCCATTAACTCTTTTATTTTTATTTTTATAGAGTAAGCGATAATTGTATTCATAATTTAGGCACTAAGAATTTGAAGCACAGTAACCCTAAACTAATGTTTTTATTTCTAATGGGTCAAGAGTTTGAGGAACCTTGAACAGGCCAATGTTGGTGGTTGGGTCAGCAGATTGTACTAAGTGTTAACCTTAATTAAAGATAACCCTTTGTTTGGTGAATTAAGAGGATAATCAATATGTTAACCTTCACATTGAGTACAAGTCAGAGCAAATAATTAATTTTAGTGGTGGTGATGAGACAGTTATATATACTTGTATTGGGTGAGTGAAAAGGAAAGGGAAGGGCCCCAGAAAGGCACAGCTTCTCCCCCATCACATTTTTCATGTAATTGTACCAAATCAGACAAAGAAAATCTCAAAATTGTATTATTGGTTATAAATTAATGCAATGTTCCCACTATTAATCTTTGTTTATTAATTTTGTTTTTTCGTTGACCAATTGCAGATGCTAAGAGAGAGAAACTTCAAACAAGAAATTCCACCAGTAAGAATTGGGGAGGGTGAGGAAATCACATATGATCAGGCCACAGCTGCATACAGGAGGGCTGCTACCTTTTGGAATGCCTTGCAATCACCTCATGGACATTGGCCTGCTGAAAATGCTGGACCAAACTTTTACTTTCCACCCCTGGTAATTACTACTCTTCATCTCACAGTAAAAAAATTTATCATTTACCATAAACAATAATATTACAGTAAAAAAAAGAGATGCTGTAAGTGACACTGTGACAGTAAAAAAAAATTGGGTTTCTTTTTGGTGCACAAGTATTTGACAACTAACAACTGTTACATTATTTCAATGCAGGTCATGGCTGCATACATTCCAGGATATCTTAATATTATTTTCACACCTGAGCATAAGAAGGAAATCTTGCGTTATACATACAACCATCAGGTAATTAGAAGCTATTAATTCAAAGGATCAATTATTTCTTATTATGTTTTGTTTTGTGGTTGAGCTTATTGAATTATGAACTTGTCTACTGCAGAATGAAGATGGTGGGTGGGGATTGCACATAGCAGGGCCTAGTATGATGTTCACCACATGTCTTAACTACTGTATGATGCGTATACTCGGAGATGGCCCTGATGGCGGTCGTGACAACGCATGCGCAAGGGCACGAAAGTGGATTCTTGACCGTGGGGGTGCATACTATGCTGCATCATGGGGAAAAACTTGGATGGCGGTATGACATACTTGATTGAAATACAGATAAAATGTTGTTGTACAGCGAAGGATGCATGCTTAATGAATATGTCTAGAAAGAAGATCGTAATTGTTCAAATAATTGAACTTAATTATTGTGTTGCAGATCCTTGGTGTGTACGATTGGGAAGGCAGCAACCCCATGCCCCCGGAGTTTTGGAGTTACCCTACTCTGCTTCCTTTTCATCCATGTAAGCACAATTTTCTTGCAGAGTCCCTTTTTTTTTAACTGAAGTTTGCTACTTATGATAAGTCTTCTATGGTTTTTTTTTACTTTCTGGTTCTAACTAGTACTGCTTCTTGTGTGCAGCAAAAATGTTCTGCTACTGCAGGTTGACTTACCTACCTATGTCTTACTTTTATGCCACAAGATTTGTTGGTCCAATCACTCCTCTTGTTGAAGAATTGAGACAAGAAATTTACCGTGAACCATACAGCGAAATTAACTGGAGTACAGTGCGCCATTCATGTGCAAAGGTGAGTTTATTTTTCTGTTCGTGAATTCATATACGCAACTTTAATATAATGTTCTTGAAATTTTACTCACATACACAAGCTGACTTTGCTGTACATTGTTGATCAATGCAGGAAGATAACTACTATCCCCATGGCAGGGTTCAACGTTTTATGTGGGACAGTCTTTACACAGTTGCTGAGCCTCTTCTTAAGATCTGGCCCTTCAAGAAGATCAGAGACAATGCTATTCAATTTACAATTGACCAAATTCATTATGAAGATGAGAACAGTCGCTATATTACGATCGGATGCGTGGAGAAGGTAATGAAATTAGCTAGAAGAAGAAAGATATGGAATGTGTAAAAGAATGCCTGATGGTTATTTTAGTGATCTAATAATGCCATTTGAATTGGACAGCCATTGATGATGCTTGCTTGCTGGGCCGAGGATCCTAGTGGAGAAGCTTTTAAGAAGCACATTCCTAGAGTTACAGATTATATATGGCTTGGAGAGGATGGAATCAAGATGCAGAGTTTTGGCAGCCAGTCATGGGATTGTGCTCTTGTAATTCAAGCTTTGCTTGCTGGGAATCTCAATGCTGAAATGGGACCTGTACTTAAGAAAGCACACGAATTCCTGAAGATATCTCAGGTTCCCTATTTAATCCATAAAGGATTTTCTTTAATAATATTTCAAATGTTTCCGTTATTTTGAGATTTTCTGTTGGCCTAAAATATTAATCCTGTATATGTAACATTGTAGGTGAGGATCAATACTTCCGGCGACTACTTAGCTCATTTCCGTCACATCTCTAAGGGAGCATGGACTTTCTCTGATCGGGATCACGGATGGCAAGTTTCCGATTGTACTGCAGAGGCATTGAGGGTAATTGATTTTAATCATGCACTTTACTCAAGTTGAAGACTGAGCTTCAACTATGATGACAATGGGGCTGACTTGTAACTTTTTTGTTTCAGTGTTGCTGCCTGTTTGCAAATATGTCCCCAGAAGTTGTTGGTGAGCCAATGGAAGCTGAGTGTATGTATGATGCTGTCAATGTCATAATGTCTCTTCAGAGTCCAAACGGTGGTGTATCAGCCTGGGAGCCAACAGGAGCACCAAAATGGTTAGAGTGGCTCAATCCTGTGGAATTTCTCGAGGACCTTGTCATCGAATACGAGTACATCGAGTGCACTTCATCTTCAATCCAGGCCTTAATTTTGTTCAGGAAGTTGTACCCTGGGCACAGAAGGAAAGAGATCAACAATTTCATCACAAGGGCTGCAGACTACATTGAAGACATACAATATCCTGATGGCTCATGGTATGGAAATTGGGGAATCTGCTTTGTGTATGGTACCTGGTTTGCAATCAAAGGGTTGGAGGCTGCAGGCAGAACATACAACAATTGTGAGGCAGTACGCAAAGGTGTTGACTTTTTGCTCAAAACTCAAAGGGAAGATGGTGGTTGGGGAGAGCACTACACCTCATGCACAAACAAGGTATTAGAATTCTTCTACTAACCTGATTGTAATCAAATTCATTTGCAAAGAAAGCATAATCCTCATAGTATTTCCCTTTTCTATCTCTTCAGAAATATACAGCTCAAGACAGTACAAATTTGGTTCAAACTGCACTTGGATTGATGGGTCTGATTCATGGCCGGCAGGTCAGTAATGATTTAAACATCTGAGAGCTAACCTCTGCTCTCTCCATGCTCTGTTTTGATCCTTCACAATTCCCTCCACAAAACTGATCTCTAAATAATTCTTATCTTTGTTATAGGCTGAGAGAGATCCAACTCCTATTCACCGTGCTGCAAGGGTGTTGATGAACAGTCAATTGGATGACGGTGATTTCCCCCAACAGGTACTGTAGTAAAACCAAAAATGGAAAAGAAGAATGACAATACATATTACTTATTCTTATATATATACACACACATACACTAACTATTTGTTACTCTTTTTCTATTGCAGGAACTGATGGGAGTTTTTATGAGGAATGCCATGTTGCACTATGCAGCATATAGGAATATCTTCCCATTGTGGGCTCTCGGAGAATACCGTACACTGGTTCAGTTGCCTACCAATAAGATTTGAGACTAGAACCACAAGCAAAGGAGTTCATAGACTTGCCAATACAACCAGAACCAATAAAAGCTTGTTCTAGTTGGCCATATTTTTTCTTTTGTTCTTTTATGTTTGTAGAGTTTGATGTACTTGTAACCGCTTAAGAATGAATAATCTATGCATATATATAAATATATTGTATCTTACTTATACACAGATGTATCATGTATGAGGCACAAGGCTTCAATAAAGTAAATGAATATGAGTTTTCCTTGTAACTGCTACTTTACTACATTCTGCTCTTCAACTCCATTCACTCCATTCCTGCATGAACACCCTGGAAATGAAATAACAGATGAGGGCAATGTTTTAAAATATATAACCAAATTCCAGATTTCACCAATTGAATCTTTATTAGATGACTTCGTACTCTGCCTCACAGAATTTCTACTTTTAAGACTCTTGAAGCGTTTCTGGACTCGTCTCATCTTTTACCCGTGAAGAGCGAGAAAGTATAGAATTCACTGCAGCAAAGACTAGAACTGAAGAGCAGCATTTGCAGGTTGCAGTCTACAGTTGAAGATGTTGAGGGCAAACCTTCAAGAGTTTCAATGGCTTGTTCTGATATCACCTTGTCTCCCACTCCTTGGTAAGATCCCTGTTTTTACCTTTAACCCAGCCACTAGAGAGTTTATGACTCTTCATGGTTGTTGCTTCATTTGTCCGTAAATAACCAATGTTCATTATACTTGAACGCCAAGCAAGAAACCCTATTGGATGATACTCATCACTGTGTTCATCAGTAGGACACGTAGTTGCTCCATCACGAAACCCTATTAGATGATAACCTTTTAACAATTTTTGAATCTTAGTACTCCAAGACACATAATTGGTGTCATCCAACTACGATACATGAAGTCACCAAATTTCCCAGGTGTTCCAAATTAGGGCACCAAAATTCCCAATTGGATCACACAATAGCAACTTACAAGTCAGAGCCTCAAATTCACCAATTGACAACTAATTCAACCTTCTTAACACAGAGCAAGGATCTCGCACCAATCAAAAGACCAGAAATGGAATCAACTTAAGATATGAAAACATATGATGCTGTAAATGTAACATGTACATGTGAGAGAAATCCATGATGAGCTTGAAGAAGCAAAAAGTGAACAAAAAGGTGAAAAACTTAGCTCAGAGTCACACGCGAAACAGGATCTCAGATTCTGTGTTACAGCTCTAATACTAATACCATGGAAGAAATCATTGTGCCACATCAAATCAATGTAATTCAAAATTAATCAATTACAAATAGAGAGCAAATATCAAGACTAGTGAAGAAGAAAAGCAGGAATGAGCAGAAGGGTTAGAATGGGCAGGGAAAAGCCTTATGTATATATTTATTATTAATAAAATTTATCATCAACTCTGAAAAAATATTTTTAAAATACATGCTTAAAAGTAAAGCTGATATCCAAAACCAAATATAAAGTATAAAGAGAATATTCACCCCCTTGTATTTTAATAGGCTGCATAAATAACTCATTAACTTTTAAACTGTTTTCTTCCTTTACTTAATGGCGTTAAGCAGACAACACTCTTTGTATATATGTACATACACATAGATTAATCTACACGACTACACATAGAGAGGCATTGGAACCATATTGCAGTATTCTGCAAGAGCCCAAATTGGGATAGTATTCCTGTATGCTGCGTAGTGTAACATGCCATTCCTCATGAAAACTCCCATCACTTCCTGTCATGAGAAAACGAAAATAAACAAAAGATGAGCAACCTGTAGCTAGTAGTAATTAAACAATATCCTTTCTACTTTTTCCTTGGCGCAGGAGAAAATACTACCTCATCACCGGATGTATATGATAAGAGAAATAGATGCATGGTTGTATACAACCCGGTAAGACTTGAGATTTTCTCATGCTGCAGAATAAATGGTGTTCAAGAATGGTACCTGCTGGGGGAAATCACCATTTTCCAATTGAGAATTGATCAACATCTTTGCAGCTTGGTGAATAGGAGTAGGGTCTCTCTCCGCCTATTGCATAAATAAAAAATATAAACATGAAAACTTAGAAATTGGGAGAGAAATATTCAGAAGTAAGAGAACTGAGGAAGTGGCTGGCACATAGCTAGGTGTAAATATTCATGTACTAACCTGTCCACCATGAATTAAACCCATTAATCCCATTGCAGTCTGCACCAAATTGGATCGGTCTCCTTCAAGAGGTGTATAGATCTGTGTAACCAATTCAAGAGATTAATTTTAGTTTACTCTGAAGAGAGAATATATTTACTAATGAATCTCAGAACAACTAGGCGCATGGTATAAATTGAGCTGCATGTGCTAGTGTGCTATGAGTATTTTGGGAATAGACCAACAAAGCCTCAACATATTTCATGTAAAGGGGGAAAGAAAAGAAAAACAAAGAGAAAGTGAACCTTGTTTGTACAAGAAATGTAGCTCTCTCCCCATCCACCATCATCTCTCTGTGTTTTGAGTAAAAATTCAACACCTCGGCGTATAGCCTCACAATTATTGTAAGTCTTGCCAGCAGCCTCTAACCCTCTGATTGCAAACCGTGTTCCATAAATGAAGCAGATTCCCCAGTTTCCATACCTGTGATAATTATTGCCTCTTTAGTTTATTTCTCGAACACAAGTAAGAACATAAGTATGCATACCATGACCCATCAGGATTTTGTATGTCTTCAATGAAACCTGCAGCAGTTGTGATGAAATTATCTATCTGTTTCTTTCTGTGGGCAGGGTATAACTTCCTAAACAAAGCTAATGCCTGGATTGAAGATGAGGTGCACTCGACATGCCTGCATGACTCTTATGTTAGTCTTCAAGGAATGTAGTCTAGAACTTAAGGAATTACAGAATGGAAAATGTTGGATCACAAGTGTTACTCATATTCGATGACGAGATCCCCGAGAAATTCTACAGGGTTGAGCCACTGAAGGAGAAAATGAATATATGCATGTCATGATACACATTGAAACAATGGAGATATTAAAATTCTTTGATCACTTAAAGGGATTTTTCATACTTACCTCCAACCATTTTGGAGCTCCTGCCGGTTCCCAGGCTGATACACCACCATTTGGACTCTGGTTCAAATCATGGAATGGAGCTCATTAATACCATTATGACAAAATAAAGGGACGACAGTAAAGAGAAAATAAAAATAACTATCTTCAGTAGTTATAAATTTCCCCATTAGAGATGTACTAGTTTTTATTCAATCTAATCCTCACCTGCAGAGAAAGTATGACATTGACAGCATCATATAAACGCTCAGGTTCTAGTTGTTCACCGACGAGTTGTGGTGGCAGCATCGATAACAACAAGCAACACTGTGCAACATAACATGTGCTTGAGAAACATATACAATTGTAATGGCTCTAGCTCAACCCTCAGCTTGACAAAAATAATCACCTTCAAACCTTCTGCAGTACAATCAGAAACTTGCCATCCATGGTCTTGATCAGAGAAAGTCCATGCTCCTTTAGAAATGTGGCGAAAATGGGATAAAAAGTCACCAGAAGGATTATCCCTAACCTAGAATATTACAATCCGATGCATATTTTAGCTAACTTAAAATGCAATGGGAGAAAGAAAAATGCTTGATGGTCAAAGTGAAAGGAAGAAGGAAAAGGGCTTTTATAGAACTTGTAAGTACAGAAACCTGAGATTTCTTAAGGAAGTTATGTCCTTTCTTAAGTACAGATCCAAGTTCATCATTCAGATTTGCAGCAAGCAAAGCTTGAATGGCGAAACTAGCATCCCACATCTGGCTACCAAAACTCTGCATATGAGTACAATGAATCAAAAACAGAACTTTGTTGCCCAAATAGCACTTCCAACCAAGAAGCTGAAATTAAAACCTGAAATATGCAAACAGCTAACCTGCATTTTCATTCCATCTTCTGCAACCCATATGTAATCTGCAATCCTTGCAAGATGCTTCTTGTAAGGTTCTCCATTCGGATCTTCAGCCCAGCAAGCAAGCATATTTAATGGCTGCCAAATTCAAATAACGTTGCATTTTAAATAGCAGCAATGTGAATACTATTCTCATCTAATTAGTTTTTCTTCCATTATGATCTGATTACCTTTATCACAACTCCAATAGTAATGTATCGAGTATTCTCGTCTTCATAATGAATGTGTTTACTGGTTTCTTGAAGAGCCTTCTCTCTGAGCTTTTTGAAGGGCCAGCGAGTGAAAAGAGGCTCACAGATTGTGTGAAGACTATCCCACATCAAGGATTGTAACTTACCATGGGGATGGTAGTTATCCTCCTGCATTAAAAAAAAATAAAAATTGAACATTCATCTTATGCATGCACAGAAATTTTTCAATAACATCAAAATGTGGTGGTGTGGCACGAATCAAAAATATATGGTGCATGCTAACCATGTAAACTCACTTTTGCACACAGATGGCGCACTTTGCTCCATTTAATTTCATTGTAAGGTTCATTGTAGATTTCTTCTCTCAGTTGCAGAATTAGGGGTGTGATGGGGCCAACAAATCTTTTCCCAAACAAATATGACATAGACAAGTAGGTCATGCGAGTATAGCAGAGCATTTTTGCTGCACATATGGAGTATCAATCAGAATGAGAAAGTTGCAAACCACAGAACTATCAGTGAATTCACTTCAAAGTCAAAGTTACATCCTTTTAATTGAACTATATCCATTGTACTACACTACAATACTGTTTTCTGAGTTCTAACAGAAAAATTAAATTGCGCAAACCTGGATGAAAAGGGAGGAAAGATGGGCAGCTCCAAAGCTCTGGGGGAATAGGGTTGTTTCCCTCCCAATCATACGCACCGAGTATCTACGATCAAAGAAATTTAATCATTTGAGACAGTACTAATATACAATAAGTTATTGGTGCATAAAATTCAGCATAAATGAATCACACGTAAAGAAATGAAAAATGGGAATCATATGAGAAGAAGATTATAAGTTTGTTAGAAATGATCATACTGCCA